AGGGCCACATCTCTGATGCGCCTCCTAATGAGGACTGGAGACCTCACCAGCTCCAAGGAGTTATTTGATAAACTTGTCTTAATAAAACTAAGTGAAACTCAGCCGCTGCCCGAGAGGCTATAGAAACAACTTTATTATTTACCTAAGTGAAACTACAATAGATGTTAGTTTAAGGTGATCTCTAATAAATGTAATGTAACATACCTCAGCCGCTGCCCAAGAGGCTATAGAAACGACTGAGGTATTCCTATACTAAACCCCCTACTACTTATAGTCAGAGGTGCTACTTACGACAGTATAATGACTCCTAGTGTGAGGAATCAATTTTTCTTATCGCATTCCCGTCATGTCGTGGTTAGCAGACTCAATCCCCATCACTCCTCTTGCCCTTGGACTAGAGATTACAACAGGTGTCTTATTACTTTTATCCTTTTTCTTCTTATTCTCTCTTCACACTCACATCCTATCGTACCTACGACGAGGTAGACTTGTTGTCGACCCTCGAGAAGATATCCAGATGACATAGCCACGATCCAGTGCTATGTCTGGGAATACTTCGGAGGAATATTGATAAGCGAAGAAGGTTGTGAGTCAGCGCCTTCTCATGAGCTTACTGATACAGCCAATCGCACATCCCTTACCAATACATTTTCTCATATGATTAGTAAATACGATGGATCAGACCACCTTCTCCTTTTTTCTTATTGGTTAGCTAGCTGGTCAGACCACTTTCTCAGTTCTTCCCTTTCTCGGTCTGACCATTGCCGTTCACTATATAAAGAAGTACATACTCGATGTATTGTTCTCTAGTTCAATATTAGTTTGGATTTGCACTTATACCAATACTCTTCATCCTCATACCCTGATTCACCGCCTTCCAGCAAGGACTTGACCAGGCATTGAGCTTTGTTATATAGCTTCGTATTTGTTGCCTGACACCTAGGAGTACAATTGTGCTCCTAGGAGAACAATGGTTACTCCATGGAGAGCAATGGCTGCTTCAGCAGAGACCGGTTTTATCCGGTTTTGTCACTCCCACTCGAGTGCAACCGTAGTCCCATAGCCTTAGAGAATTTCTAGTGTTTTTCATGAGTGAGGGGTTTAGTGAGAATATTTGCAACCATATCTCCTGTAGGAACGTATCTGATTACTGCCTGTCCCTTTGATACTAAGTCATCTCGGATAAAATGATATTTCCGTTGAATGTGTTTTGTGCGAGCACGGAACTGTGGATCTCGTGTAAGAATGATAGCTGCTTGATTGTCATAGTGCAATGTTGTAGGTCCATTTTGAGCATGTCCAATTTCTTCAAAAAATGTCCGAAGCCATGCTGTAACAACCAAGAGTTAGTTACTCTGGCGCACACGGGAACACACTATAAAGAAGATGATAGGGAGTGGTTACCCCTTAGGCTGCAGTGAGTTAGTTGTGCTAGACAACAGGAGGACTCACTGAGTCCTTCCCCATGTATTGCTCCTGTATATATACTGAATACATGTTTGTTTGTACAGTTGTTAGAGGTAGTGGCTGCTGATGTCATGGGGCCTAGCCTGTGTGACCAGCTCCACTCCATGAGATACTTGTAGCTAAAATAAGAATAAAGGCAGCGCCGCGCGAGAAAGGTGGAGTTTGAACTAAAAGGGGAAGTGCCACATGGCACAGTGTGAAAACTACAGTACAAGGTTAAAGCGGAGAATGAAATTTAAAAGAAAGATCCGAAAATAAAAAGTAAAGTAAATGGTCATATGACTGGTCATGTGACCTGGAAAATAAAAGTAGAAGTACAAAAGTGATGTGTAA